AGCAGGGACACGTGGGGGGGAAGAGCAGGGACACGTGGGGGGGAGGGGCAGGGACATGTCTCATATAGAGCACAAAGAGCACCACAGAAAATGTAACATTTAAATCATATCCCTGAGTGAGAGCTTAGTGCGTAACAGTGTTTGCTGCTGGAACGGTTAATGGGGGAATGGTTTCCCATCATCGGCAAGTTGGGCAGCCCCCTAATTTAACATCCTGCTGAATCTTAATGACTGCAGGGCTCAATCTTAATTATTGTATTTTTTATGTCACTGCACACTAATTGAGCCCCGAGCAGGAAGCGCCTCATGATGTATCTGTGGTCCATTCATAGCAGGATTAATGCTATGGAAAATTCCGGAATGGGATGTGTGTTGATCCGGTGTTGGAGTGCCACTGCCCGTCTAATAATAATAATAATAATAATAATAGTAGTTAATAAATCATATTATATTACATTATATTTTTTAAATAGATGCAGTATATATGCTGAACGTTTGATACTGGCTAAGTCAGTTAACAGGTGTGATGGGTAAAATGTAAGTAAAATTTAGTGTTTCCGTTGATTTTTTTTTATCGAATATCAACCATGAAATTTCTACAGCCACTCTGATTGCTGCTATCTTGGTCCTTTAATATGTCTGTTCCTTACAGTCCACACACTCTGTCAGCCTCAGTGTGAATGTGGCCCATGGCCAACCCGTGCTTTCATTCAATAACATGCTTAGAGTCCATAAACACCGCGTTCGGAGTCTTTGATTGGCCAGTGTTCACCCAATGAGCTGGCCCCTTCTGCCTCCGCAGAATCCAGGTGCATCCTGCTGCCAGTGGTTCTGCATCACCTCCAGGTTCATCTCCAGGAACAGAGGGATCTGGTGATGTGTGCCCAGGTGCTGAGCAGTGTGCTCTCAATCACAATGAGGGACAACACGGTGAGGAAGCCAACGTTCACTGCGACCCGACCATGACCTGACTGCAGCCCGACCATGACCTGATCACAACTCGCGTGTGACTCGACAGCGACCTGACAGCTACCCGACTGTGACCTAACTGCGACCTGACTGCCCCGTGTCTGCATCCCAACCATGACTCAACTGTTACCTGACTGTAACTCACCTGAACAGTGACCCGACCAAGACTGAACTGCAACCTGACAATGACGTAGTGCATTTAGAAAGCATGAGTTGAATTATCTGTTCAATGCGTATAGTATACAGTCACATGACCATGACCTGACCGTGTGCCAACCATGACCACATGATGACTCAGATGAAGTACAGATTTAGTGTTCTTGAAGAGGATTAGCTGAATTATCTGTTCAGAGCGCATAGTATACAGACTCACAAACACGAACGCGGTCATGCTTGCTAAAATCATGACCTGCGCTCATCTATTTCACCTTGAACGCTGGCAGAGGAGACCGGAAGCCCAGCAGAGAGAGCACTCTGACTCCTGGAACCTGTAATGGGGGCAGTGGTCTGCAAACAAAGCGTCAGCTCTGCTACGAGTAGCCCTTCCGTCCCGTGGTGGTCTCAGGCCAGACCCCCATTCCCCCCCTCACTCTGCACCCCTCTGCCACGTGCAGGACCTGTCGTCGGCCGAGGTGGTGAGCGCTATCGTGCGGAGTCTCCTGGGCGTGCTTCTGGCAACCATCCTGGAGGTGACCAATCGGCCACAGCCAGCAGGGACGGCCATGCGACTGCAGTTCCAGGATGTCACGGTGAGCATGCCCAGGAGGCAGCTCCGCCTCCTTCCAGAATAATCTGCATCCATTGCACAGTCCCTGCAGTGTTCAGTGCTTAGATTGTCCCTGTAGAACATTACATGGCATAAAGCTTCAGTTATAAATGCCCGAGTGCCCCCCTCCCCGTGTGTGTCTGCATGTCTGTCACATGCAAGTTGCGGTGGCTCGTTCATGTCCCGTTTCCTGGTTTGCGTGGACCCAGGGCGAATTCGTAGCCTGCTTACTGGCTCTGCTGCGACAGATGACAGACAGACACTACCAGCAGCTGCTGGAGGGATTCACGGGCAAGGACGCGCTGAAGGTAAATCCAGATTCTGTCACTCGATTCGCTTTTCTGCCTGTGAGGTGTTTGTCCCCACTCATGGAGAAGCTCTGTCACTGTCTGCCAGTGAGAACCGATTAAAAAGATGCCACTTAACCCCATATAAGTTGGCATCCATTAGTACAAAGCAGAAACAGCTCATGGCAGACGTGACTAGACGATAGCAGATGCATGCCATGTCTGAGCACACAGCTTCTACATGATCAGGTCACAGTGTCTGTTTCCCTTTCAGGATTTCCTTCTGCAGATATTCACAGTCTTTCGGATTCTTATCCGACCAGAGATGTTCCCAAAGGACTGGACTGTAATGAGACTGGTCACCAACAAGTGAGCCCCCCCCCCACTTACACACACACACACACACACACACACACAGATACAGACACACACAGACACATACAGACACACACACACACACACAGATACAGACACACACACAGACACATACAGATACAGACACACACAGACACATACAGATACACACACACACACACAAATACAGACACACACACACAGATACAGACACACACACACACACACACAGATACAGACACACACACACACACAGATACAGACACACACACAGACACATACAGATACAGACACACACACACACATACAGATACAGACACACACAGACACAGACACACACAAAGACACACAGAGACATAGCCACATACAGAAAGACACACACACAATTGTAATTGTCATAGAGCATGGGTTACCGTGGTTACAGTGTCAGACTCGGCATCAGCTTTATTGGCCGTTGACACGCCGACTCTCAGTGGCTATGATACGCACAGTAAATACATGCACAGTTAAGCCAAGACAAATGGGCACATGCAGTCTGGCTGATGCATACAGCGTGCATGTGTGGTTGTTAAAGGTACAAAAGCCTGCCTTTAAACACTTCTCCACAAAAAAGAAGTGTGTTAGTTAATGCTTCTGTTTTGCAATTTTTTCCTCCTTATAATAGAATTTATGCAAATGAATGACTTTCATTTCCTGTGTTGCTTTCCCTGCAGCGTTATCATCACTACTGTGCTGTACCTGTCTGATGCCCTAAGAAAGAACTTCCTGAACGAGGGTTTTGACTACAAGGTGAGAGGCAGGTGCAGATGTGAGCCAGGTGTGGTTGGCCGCTGGTCCCGCTCCAAGAGGTCCCAGCCCAATCCCAATCCTGAAGTCAGGGAAACCTGATATGTAGCCTGCAAGAGTGAATGGCCCTGCTAGTCTGGTGCTCACTGCATCATTATGCACAATACGCTGTTATTGCTGAGTATCTTTTAGTAAAAGAACTGTAGCTGCAAAACAATTCATTCTCCTGATATCAGTAAATACATGCTGAGGCCTGGTTCGTTTCCTGTGTTTAATGTGTGCATGCAGTTACACAGTTCACCGGTGCGGGGTGACAGTGAGTCAGTCAGCCTATGGCTATCCCTGTTACTCCGGGCTAAAATCATACTGTGTGTCAGAAAAACACTTCCCTGCCGCATTGGAACAGGTCGCTGGGTGATGAGGTCATGGCCACTTGGCTTCTGATAGTAGCTTTGTGACATGTTGATTGCTGCTGCTGTCGTGTGACCCAGTCAGAATGGTGCTAAAGGGATCAGGAGCACATCTGGTGACATCCGGCGCACCCCTCCTGAAATGTCACTCTCCTAGGTCTGGGATTCCTACTTCTACCTCTCTGTGATCTTCATCAACCAGCCCTGCCTACAGCTTGAGAGCTTCTCCCCAACGAAGAGGAAGAGAATCGTAGAGAAGTGAGTGCCTGTGAGCTCTGCCGTCTGCGGCGCTGCCGTCTGCTCACCCAGGGATCTGATGTTTTGTTTTTCTCTTCTGCCACAAGGTACGGCGACATGAGGGTGATGATGGGCTGTGAGATCTTCAGCATGTGGCAGAATCTGGGTAGGAGAAAGGCTGCTGGCCGTCTTGGGACTGAGAAGGAGTCGTGATACATTTTCACATTGCCTCTTGGAGATTAGAAGGTGTGCTCTTTGATCTATGCTCTTTCCAGGGCAGCACAAGCTGAACTTCATCCCTGCCATGATCGGGCCCTTCCTGGAGGTGACGCTGGTGCCCCAGCAAGATCTCCGCAATGTCATGATCCCCATATTCCATGACATGATGGATTGGGAGCAAAGGAGAAGTGGAAACTTCAAACAGGTGCAGTCTCTGCCTCCTAGTGGTAGGTTGAGGAATTACACAGCAGTTTGCAGACTGTGGCTACTCTAGCTGTCTACCAGTTCAGTCTGGGACGTCTAGCGGCTGAGCCCAGAGCCCCAGTAGGTGGCGGTATGGCTGAGAGCTGACTCTGCCTTGGGAAAGGAACCTTGGAGTCTCCAGGAGTAGCCGGGGCAGACTAATCGCTTACGTGTCTCAATGGCAGAGCAGTCGGGCTTCCAGGGAACCACGAAGGTCTTTTCATCCACAAATCCCATCTCTTCACAGCCCCGAGATCAGTAAACACTGAACCATCCAAGAGCTTAATCACCTTACATGTTCCTCTGATTGATAAAATAAGGAGACCCCCCACCCCCACAGGAACCTGTGTGTCAAACCCCTCCATCTCACCTGCCATAGGTGGAGGCCAAACTGATCGACAAGCTGGACAGTCTGATGTCTGAGGGCAAGGGGGACGAGACCTACAGGGAGCTCTTCAACAGCATGTGAGTCCCGGGGCCTTTGAGGCCGACAGCTTCAACTCCTTCGCCCTCCTCATCCTGGGCCGCCCTCCTCATCCTGGGCCGCCCTCCTCATCCTGGGCCGCCCTCCTCATCCTGGACCGCCCGCCTCATCCTGGGCCGCCCTCCTCATCCTGGACCGCCCGCCTCATCCTGGCCCGCCCTCCTCATCCTGGGCCGCCCTCCTCATCCTGGGCCGCCTGCCTCATCCTGGCCCTCCCTCCTCATCCTGGCCCGCCCTCCTCATCCTCTTTCGCCCTCCTCATCCTGGGCCGCCCTCCTCATCCTCTTTCGCCCTCCTCATCCTGTGCCGCCCTCCTCATCCTGGGCCGCCCACCTCATCCTGGGCCGCCCTCCTCATTCTCCTTCGCCCTCCTCATCCTGGCCTGCCCTCCTCATTCTGGGCTGCCCACCTCATCCTGGCCCGCCCTCTTCATCCTCCTTCGCCCTCCTCATCCTGGGCCGCCCACCTCATCCTCCTTCGCCCTCCTCATCCTCCTTCGCCCTCCTCATCCTGGCCTGCCCTCCTCATTCTGGGCCGCCCACCTCATCCTGGCCCGCCCTCCTCATCCTCCTTCGCCCTCCTCATCCTGGGCCGCCCTCCTCATCCTCCTTCGCCCTCCTCGTCCTGGGCCGCCCACCTCATCCTGGGCCGTCCACCTCATCCTGGGCCGCCCTCCTCATCCTCCTTCGCCCTCCTCATCCTGGCCTGCCCTCCTCATTCTGGGCCGCCCTGCTTGCTGTAGACGCTTGTGATTTTTTTTCCAACTAGCTCTCTGTTAACGCCTGTGAGTGTTAGTGTGAGTGTTAGTGCATTAAAAGGCCTCTGTTCTATCACTGCTGCCTGGACCAGCATTCCGCTGTTTGGGCCCTACCCTAGGTAAGACCTGCTCTCTTTGCATGTGTGTGCCTGTGGATTATGCTCCCCAAATGAACTAAATGTTCCCCACAATGTAGTAAAAACCTCTTTTTTTTTGACGTTTTGGGGACCATATTTCAGGGGTTAAGGTCGTCAAGTTGAGATTAGAATTTTCCTCATAGAAATGAAAGAAGTGTCCCCACAAAGATATAATTACAAACCTGTGTGCGTGTGTGTGTGTTTGTGTGCCCGTGTGTGTGTGTGGGTCAGATATGCATTACTTTGTGATAAAAACCTGTTATTTTGGTGTTGTGGGGACCATTTTTTCGGTATATTGAAATAGGGGATATTCAAATAAAAAAAAATCTGACTGCAATCAAAAACTTAAAATGCCACAAACTTGTATTTTGTTTGGTTACTTATGGGTAAGGCTAGGGCTGAGTAGGGGTTAAGGTTGGCATTGTAGGGATTACAGTTTTGCCCATAGAAATGAATGGAGAGTTACGAAAAAGATATTAGTACAGGTCTGTGTATGTGTGTGCCTGTGTGTGTGTGTGTGTGTGTGGTACTGTGTGTGTGCTATTGTGTGTGTGTGTGTGTGTGTGTGTGTGTGTGTTTGTTTGTGCTACCGTGTCTGTGTGTGTGTGTGTGTGTGTTTGTTTGTGCTACCGTGTCTGTGTGTGTGTGTGTGTGTGTGTGTTTGTTTGTGCTACCGTGTCTGTGTGTGTGTGTGTGTGTGTGGCCCGCACCCAGCTGCTAAGTGGACCTTGTGCTGTGCCTCTCATTAGCCTCCTGAAGAAAATTGAGCGTGAGACGTGGAGGGAGAGCGGCGTCTCCCTGGTGGCTACTGTCACCCGGCTCATGGAACGGCTGCTGGAC